TTGGTAGGCCGCAGGGCTTACCCGCTTCCAATTTTTAAACGCCGGGCGGGGGTGCGTCCTCCTTGATCTTATTCGATAACAAACTTTGCCAAGGGTTTCACTTTCAAAATTTTTTTAATTTGGAAAATTATCTGAAAGCTGTCCACGTGATATATTATCACCGCCATGCTTTAAGATGATGAGAACGAAGCGGATTGATGTTTGGTTTATGTATATTTTCCTAATCATTTCAAAAAGTAAAAAAATCGGAAAAGAGCTCCTCACTTAAGTGATGCTATAGAGCTCTTGACGCTTTCCATCGATAGCGGACATTTATCGCTTTAAATATGTGATGCCCATAAAATTTTTGAAAGTATTCCTAGAGCCCGCGAGCCTTTCAAAATTGAGAAGCAGAGCTGGCCAGACCTCAGCTGGCTCGATCGGCAGTCGCCTGGGTATCCATATCGGCCCGCTCTGAACCTGGTCGCGATTGGCTTTCGCGTCTTCCTTGGGGCCACCGAGGCCCACTAGATTCCGCGCGCGCGCCTTTAGGGCAGGGCCCGCCCTCTATATCGCCCTGCAGGAAACAAATGCAGAGAAGGCGCCGGCCCGCTGGGTCTCGCTCGCGATTCGCATGCAATCGCCATACGATTCCGCAGGTGCCCCTTCCTACTGAGAACCCAGCCGAGGCCAGGGCCAGGCTCGCCCTCTATACCGTCCGGCGGGAAACTAATGCAGAGAAGGCGCCGGCCCGTTGGATCTCGCTCGCGATTCGCGCGGAGTCTCCATCAGTTTCGGCCGATTCTAGTCCCTTCGGAGAACTTCGGCGAGGTCAGCGCGAACCACGCGTCAGATTTCGCAGCGCGTTCTTCTGTCGTGCGAAGCTAATCCGCACAGCCTCGCTTCCGCCATTAGATCGCGAGCGCGTCGCGGCAACTACCTGAAGGGTGCGACTCCCTTCGAGTGGGGAAGCGAATACTCTTAAAGGGTCGCCTTTTTTCGAAGCCCTGGCGGCGCGCTATCGAGCGGCCGCCTGTTTCCGAGTTGCGAAGCTGATGCGCAGAGACTCGCCTCCGCCATTAGATCGCGGGCGCGTCTTGGAAACTACCCGAAGAGTGCGACCTCCTTCGGGTGGGGAAGGTAATGCTTTCAAAAAGTCGCCTTTTTTCGAAGCCTTGGCGGCGCGCTATCGAGCGGCCGCCCGTTTCCGGGCTGCGAAGCTGATGCGTACGGCCTCGCCCCCGCCATTAGGTCGCGGGCGCGTCTTGGGAACTACCTGCAAAGGGCGACTATCTTCAGGGCAATCCTTTGAAAAAGTCGCCTTTTTTCGAAGCCCTGACTGCGCGCCATCGAGCGGCCGCCTGTTTCCGGGTTGCGAAACTGGTGCGCAAAACCTCGCCCCCGCCATTAGATCGCGGGCAGTCTTGGCAAGGTAGCCTAGACCTAGCAGCCGGCCCGCGATAAGTCGATAAGCCGACAAAAGACGCGCGCCGCAGAGTTTCCTAGCGGCCGGCCCTCGATGAGTCGATAAGCCGACAACGGACGCGCACCGCAAACCTGCCCAGTAGCCGGGTTGCGATAAGTCGACAAGAGGCGCGCATCGCAAAGCTGTTCAGTAGCCGGCCCGCGATAAGTCGATAACAGACGCGCGCCGCAAAGTTGCCCAGCAGCCGGCCTGCGATAAGTCGGTAAGCCGATAACGGACGCGCGCCGCAAAGTTGCCCAGCAGCCGGCCCGCGATAAGTCAATAAGCCGAGAACAGACGCGCGGCGCAAAGTTGCTTAGAAGCCTGTCCGCGATAAGTCGACAAGCCGCGAACAGACGCGGGGCGCGGGGCTGCCTAGTACACACTTGGCGAATGCTAGAAGCGGCCTACGGCCTTCCTTCATCAACGCCGCCAACTTCGACTTACTTAGCGTGTTTTTGCCGATAAACAACACCGAAGAAGAACTCACAAGCAAAGCCCACAAGCAGTGCCAAAAGCCCTGACTTTTTCGCTGCCAGTGCGTGACAGAAGCGAGAAGGCCCGACTTTTCGTGCGAACTGATGGCAAAAGCGGCCTACGGTCTTCCTCCCTCAAAAGCGCCACCTTCTATCGGCCTCTGAGCGTCGGCCAGGGCCTGACTGCAATTGCTCGCAGAGCTCCGGCTTTCTTGCTAGTGGCATCGGATAGAAGCGGGAAAGCCTCGACTAATTGCGAAAAAAACCAGTGGCCATTTTTCTCCATTAGTTTCCCGTAGGGCGGCATAGAGGGCGACCCAAACCAAACGGGCGGACCAACAAAGTTCCCGCCGGCGTTTCGGCTTTCTCGCTTCTATCAGACACCTGCAGCGAGAAAGCCGGGACTCTGCAGGCAGTTGGTAGCTGATAGCTTAGCGTCAGACCCACAGAGGAGAGAGGGAACGGATGGCCCCAAAGGTGGCGACTCTTCTCACGAATCTGAAACGTTTAGGGTTTAAAAAAAGCCCCCGACTTTTGTAAGCCCTGAGGCCTTCAGACTTACAAAGGGCCAGCGCCTTCCATGTATAGGCTTCCGACTTATCGCGGACAGGCTGCTGGGCAGCTTTGCGCTGCGCCTCTGTTGTCGACTTATCGCGGGCAGGCTGCTCGGCGGCTTTGCGCTCCCCGCCTGCTGTCGGCTTATCGATCCACTTATCGCGGACAGGCTGCTGGGAAACTTCGCGCTCCCCGTCTGTTGTCGGCTTATCGCGGGCCGGCTGCTCGGCAGCTCTGCGAGCGATGCGCTTCGGTTTTCGACTTATCGCGGACAGGCTGCTAGGCAGCTTTGCGCCGGGCGTCTGTTGTCGGCTTATCGACTCATCGCGGGCAGGCTGCTCGGCGGCTTTGCGCCCCCCGTCTGCTATCGACTTATCGACCTAGCGCGGGCAGGCTGCTCGGAAGCCCTGCGGTGCGCTTCCGTTTTCGACTTGTCGCGGGCCGGCTGCTAGGCAACTTTGCGGCGCGCGTCTGTTGTCGCCTTATCGACTTATCGCGGGCCGGCAGCTAGGCAGCCCGGCGATGCGCGTCTGTCCTCGACTCCCCGCGGGCAGTCAAGGCCTCGAAATGAGGCGACTTCTGAAGGGGGACCACCTTCCCAACTTGAAGGAGCTGCACTCTTCAAGGAACTGCGAGGGCGTCGCGCTATCTAATGGCGGAAGCGAGGTTTTACGCATCAGCCTCGCACGCAACCAGGACGCACTGCGCAACCTAGTGCGTGACTCACACCGGCTTCGACTGGCGCGCGCCCCTCCATGGCGACCGGTGCGGCCCCTGTGCCGCCCGACTGCACGCCGCTGGCCCAAGCACAGGCCCCGCATGGCTTTCGAGCTACTGAACGGCCTGGCCGGTAGACTCCACGGCCCCGGGCCCCGTTCTTTCTGCCGAGAACGGCGGAGGAGCCAGCGGCGATCAGTTTCCCCTCTGGGAAGCTAGTGGGAATTAGCGTTCTCTATAGCGGGCTCTACCGCTCCGGCCCCTCTACAGGCCCCCACGCTGAAGCCATGCCGCAGGCCGGCGCCTTGCTGCGCGGTCTTGCAGGGTCTAGCAGCGCCCGGCACCCGCCGAAAAAGGCCTCCGCGTTCGGGCGGCTTCCGCAACCGCCGGCGCCCCCTTGACGCCGAAGACGCCCTCTTTAGAGGCCTGCGGGAAAACCGATGGGGGGTTGTGTTCCACCCCCCGTTTCCATGGCCGCCGGCCTCGGCCCTTCGCTCCGCGGGCCGCAAAAAGGAGGCAAGCCCGATACGCCTGCACCTTCTTCCGCCGGTTTTTTGCCGTGCGGCGTATACGTCTTTCAACTGCTCCGCTGTCTTTTGAGTACAGAAGAGGCGACCCTAAATATTCTTGTCAACTATTGCCGACGCTAGCGGGCCCCAAAGACGCATTTCTGTACCAACTTTCGGTGACAGTGACGGGTGAAGCGGTCGACTCGCCTTGGTCGCAGCGGAGTCTCTTGTTTTTAGCAACCACAGGTTATAATTCTTAGGAGCTGGGCCCTACTGTCCGTTCTGTCATGCGTATATCACATTTTAATACTCGTCGAGTGGCACTTAATATGCTGTGACAATACTCAAGGCGGAGTACAAATTGTGGTTCTGTAATGCGTATACTGCTTTGCTATGTTGGGATCTTGCGTTCGTTGGACTACACATGGCGGTCGTTCGTGAACGAGATTCTCCTTCCCAACTTGCACGATGGAACCGAGCTCGACCTCTCCATCCACATCCCGCTTGGCGCGCAGCAAGGTCGGAGAAACTCTTTTGAGGAGTACAACAGTTACGAGACATGTGGTCGTCTTTTTTGGTTTTTCAATTTAGGCTGGTTCCGCCACTATATAGGTAGATCCACTCCTGTTTCTCGTCTTGTATGACATTAAGGAGTTTTTGGCTTGTAGGTAGATGTTGAGTTTTTGTCTTGTATGTGACCCATTTTCTGTTTCGTAGGATATAACTGGGTGCGGCGGGTGCTAGTAATGGGCTGACCTGATTAAGACAAATATTTTTTGAGATGGACTCCGGGAACGTCTAAACACGCGGGAATGGGGATAAACACAGAGCAGGCGAAGATAACGGAATTACCTCCGAGTCCAGTCGTGTGTTATGCTACGTCGTTTTGTTGATTTAGATTGAGCGGACTGACGCGGCATGTTTAAGTAGCGAACTTGGAACTCCTCGTTGGGCCGCAGCGCTTAAGTCGCTGAAGTGGTGTCCCTTAAGTGCCTCGACCGCCGCTCAGGCGACATCTATCATGCTTACATGTAGATGTAAGCGTTGTGTGTACTCATGTTATATCACAATATCATAATATAATTGCGGAACGTGCAGGCCTTACAGGTCTTCCCTTCCTCTTTCATACACTGCGTCAGCCGAGACACAAATCGAAAAAACGGCTGCCGTTCTGTCAGACAGAATCGAAAAAGACATCCCATCATCACAAAAGGCGGATAACGCCACCAGCACTAGCGCTGGACCCAGTGTTCGCCTTGTCTCGGTCACTAAAGCACGGGCGGAAAAAACGTTGGCGCCCTTTTTCGAAGCGGTGAATCAGCTGAATCGCTGGGCTACTCTCGCAGAAAAGTGCCTTTGCGATGATGGTGATGCCCAAGTGGGGCAATCATCTACTTCTGCAACAGGACTTAGTACACACGAACTAGTACAACAGGAACATGAAGACGGTTCTATAAGTAAGAGGCACCATCATGTTCTTGGAGCAGAAAATAATCCACCACAGCAAACAGTGGCACAACAACACACACGAACACCTGGTAACAACAACAAGCCTTGTATAAGTGGACACAGAAAAAAACTTGGTCGTATTCGTATAATTGCTGTGGACTTGTATGAAGAAGAGCCGTATCCCGCAGGGCTCGCGGAGATGTGCTACACGCGAGGCCATGCCGACGCGTATCTAACTCGTGATGCCTGCCGAGGGCGGTTTGAGTCTGTGGGCAACCGAGTCCATTATCAGCAGAATAGCTGGAAAAGATGTTGGGATCATGCTACGGAATATATCAAGTCTCAATATTATGAAACACATTCAGCAAAAGAAGACAAAGTGGAAGGAAGTACCATAATGCAAAAACAAAGCTACGGCACTTTTTTTGACAACTACTACAACTTTGTGATGAAGTTACGACCGGACACCTACTTTTTCCCACGGGTCTTTCGTTTGCGACGAGAGCAGAGAACACCGAGACTACTTCTGAGTACCACTCCGCGTGAAAGTGCGATTAGAAATTGGCTGGAGCCGCTTCCAGTGGAGTCACTGGGAAGTGTAGTGGAGGGCTCAATGAATCCACGAAAAACTGATAGCAGTTTTCTAGCAACCTTAGACTTCACCAAAGCGACGCATTCGAAAGAGGAAGAATCCTATCTTCACTCACCGGAGAAAACCTTGCTGCACAGGTTGTTGACACTGATGGGGGATATCGATATTGAAGGACTAGCAGACGATGACTCGCTGGACAAAGGCTCAACTTCATCACCGGGCCCCGCCTACTCCGTCTCACCATCTTCACGTCCAGCCTTCTATCAGTTCCTGGCAAATGAATTACTCCCTTCTTTGTTTTCTTGGGGACGTGAGAGATTTTTGTTTTTCCGCGACTTGCCGACAAAAGGGGGAGTAGTTGCTCTATTGGAAGACACGTTGTTGACGCATGCAGGAGACGCCGTTCTATTGCTGAGGTGGGGACCCCCAGCACAGATGATTCTTCGAGATATGTTATGATGAAATTTTTCTAGCATTCGATAGAACAAATGCTGACTCCTTCCGGTCATTCTCTTTTTTGTAGAGTGAGTTAGGACTCTCTTTAGCTGAGGTCGCTTAAGGGTTCCGCGAAACCGTTAAGCCGCGGCGCGCTTAGGTGTTTCGCGAAACAGCTAAGGCAAGGCTCCCTTAAGTGTTTCGCGAAGCCGTTAAGGAAAGGCCCCTTTAAGTGTTTCGCGAAACCGTTAAGCGGAGGCCGGCTTCAGTGTTTCGCGAAACCGTTAAGCCGCGGCGCGCTTAGGTGTTTCGCGAAACAGCTAAGGCAAG